GGGGGGGGGGGGGGGCAGAAGGGAAATAAAAATGAAACGAGTCCTTCTATACCGACGTGAAACATTGCCCGCTTGTCTCTCAGATTCACGTAGTGCAAACACCTCGTCACCGTGACGGCCGGGTGTATCGTGGATTAATATATCGCGATGGATAAACGGCATTTCCTGGTGCCGAGGAATTTAACCAAGAAGACGGTAGATAGGTGGAAAGAAAAGAAGGAAAGAAAAATTATATAAAAAATGAAGAAAGTTACGAGATGAGTTTAGAAGGTTTTTCTAATTTCGCGGGCTAAAGTTAGTCCGGGAATCGGGGATAATTCTGTTGTTATCTTTACCGCGTCCTGCGCGCGGGATGCTGTATCGATCGGCAGCTCCGATAGTAGGACCAACGTAGTAGGAACGTATAGAGACGGAAATACACGAGTGTATACGGTAATAAGACAAAGACGGAATTACGGTCGATGGGTGTAAGTCGTAGCGCGGGAAAATGATGAAAATTCAAAATTCAAGATAAAATTTTACCTTTGAGCCCAGGACGTTTTCTCTCGACCCCTGCCCTCCCTCGCCCCTTTTTAACCTAGTTCTTGTTCCTCCCCGGTCTCTTGAGAATTTCTATGCACCGTGTCCAGCGTTCCCGTGGTGCTTTGAGAAAACGATGGAGGCTTTACCGAATTTTTTGAAGTCGCACGAGATGAAGAAGGCGGTGTCAAGACGTAGCGCTTCTAGGGTCACGTGGGAAACGAAGTCAAAGGGTAAACGAGTACTCGTTAAGACGATCTTGAACAGTGCACAACTCACTCTTTAAGAATAAAGGACCAATTACACTGTTCACGCGAAATATCCTACTTCCGGAAAATCCCTGCAAATGCGCCACGTCTGCGACCTGATTCGTGCATTTATTTTTCGGCCGCACAGTAACGACGTCACTGGCGTGGATCCTGTGGGACCGTTCTACGTCCGTGTATATTGGCAGGGTAAAAAAGGAGTATGAAAAAAAAAAAAAGAAATCATCACCAGAGAAAAAGTCATTACTGTGGACGGTGACGTTTTTTAATCGGTGTCGCGACGCACATTCGAAACCCCCCTGCCCCTCCCCCACGAAGGTAAATGTCCGCGGAAACAATTGACTGTCGATCCATAGAATCGTCTTTCCACAAAAAGCACCCCCAAACCGCTTCTTCTCTCTCGTGCTTTTTTCCCCCGTTTTTTTTCTTTGTTTCCTCTACCATTTACCCAACTAGCACGTCAAATGGGACACAAGCGTATCCTGATAATTATTCGCCGTTGCAAGAGAAAAAGTGATCTCGACACAGAGAGCGACATGGGGAATGGCTTTTGAGGAAGGAAAACAAAAAAAAAGGAGCGTAACAAAGAGAAGAGAGAGAGAAAAGACGACAAATAAAAGCTCAAGGAAATCGAGCGTAAAATCAGATTGAAAAAACTCTGTGTGATACGAAATTTGCTTTGTTGCCAATTTAAATCGTTTTACGCTGCTAGCGATTTAAACTATTTTACCTACGTTTTTGACATTCTCTCTTACCCATACGTGAGTAAGCTCGATTGCCACTTTTTCTTTTTTTTTTTATATTTATTTATTTTTCCTCTCCCAAGCTTCATCGCTCCCGCTGTTGTAACGCGTCGACACACGTGGCCGCCCTCACGACTCTCAGCCGGCACAGGCGAAGGGCGCATATCGCGCGTTTCGATTTATTAACGCGCGTGCGGAAACGATTGATGAATTCAATTCGTCGTCGCCGTCGGGACGCGGGTTGCGCTTTGGCGAAGCTTCGTGGCCCCGGGATCGTATTGCCGGTGTCGGGCGTTATCGAAAGATGGATGGGGACGGGGGTCGTGAGGCGCGAAGAAAGGAAGAGAAAAAAAGAGGTTTTTAGTTTTCCGTGATGCGGGGTAGCGCGGATCGAGGTTAAAGATGGCAGCTCTCTAAAGGGGATAGAGAACGACAGAAAAGAAAAAAAAAAGGAAGAAAAATGGAAAACCGACAACGCAAAGTATAAAATAAGATAAGAAAAACACAATTGATGCGTGAAGTGATAAAAAAAGAAAATAGAGTATAATCTAATGCGATCGTAATGTATGTGGAACGCGCTCGAGTGTACGTCTCTCTGTGAATGCGCATATGTGTCGCAAGTATATATCCTTATCCTCGTATATATGTATATATATATATATATATGATTCTAATATATAATAGGTATATACAGCAAGTGCTCGTGTACAATTAAATGGTGCTTCATTGTTTGTCAGTTAGGGTCACATGTGTTTTTCTATATATAATATATCATAAACTAACGTATAACGTATGTATACATATATATCTGGCCTGACTTATGTACGTACGTTTCCTACGTGCGTGTATATATATATATAATCTATACACGCACTTCATGGTCCGTGTGGTTATTCCTTCGTCTATCTTATTAATGTGCGCATGGAATTCCTACAGAGAAGAGCTAACACATGAGTCAAAAAGGCGAAACTTCAATGGATCATCTACTACACAACAGCAGCTCAGCGAAACTATAATATCTAGAACGTCGTGCTTGCAGCATGATGCGCGCAATTATCAAATTTCATTTGTTGTTTTTTATTTTTTTTATTCTTATAAAGAAACATATATCCAAATATCCAAATTCCGATAAAAATTAATAAAAAGATATCTCGCGAACGTATTTTTCAATAAATGTATCCTCCAATAAAACGGACAAAAGAGCATTGTGACGATTGAGAAAAATTTGAGACTGAAAATTACGTGTTTTATCCGTCTTCCCCCGCCTGTCCTCGTCTCGCACGTTCCCTCTCTCTCTCTCTCTCTCTCTCTCTCTCTCTCTCTCTCTCTCTCCAATGTCGCGACTAATAAAAGGTGTAACTTCCGATCCTCCTTGGCAACCCTTTCTCTCGCGTGCTGCCATTCAGATTGGTCCCGGAGGCCCAGGGTGACCCCGATAAGGGTCGGAACTTCGGGTCAAAGCCGAGTAGAGCCGAGCTCCGAGTACAGAGTAGAGTGGCGTAGCGGCGATGCCGCTTTTTCATGAAAAATTATGGCGAACGAGAGAATGAAAGAGAAATTGGTAGAGAAGAGATAGTCTCGGCAGTAAAGTAGAATGTCTCCGTGGGACTATTTATTATCTCTGTGAAAAGAAACGAGTGCCCACGAGGGTGTGTGTGTGTGTGAGAGAGAGAGAGAGAGAGAGAGAGAGAGAGAGAGAGAGAGAGAGAAGAGACGTTGAGAGTGATACAGAAAGATAGAAAGAGAAAGACATAGGCCGCACTCGGGACAAAACGTCGGGGGTCTTCACCGCAACCCCTTAGCTATACTTGCACCCCCTACACACAGGTCCTCTGTATGCCGACCCCTAAAAGTCTTCACTGGTGTGACGTCGCTGTGCGGCCGGTATAGGAGTAAAACGTGAATTCATTCTGACGAAGAAGATTCCACCCCCTTCTTCTGCCGAGTGGATTGGTAGAGAATCCCCTTCCTACTGGTTTTACCTCTTTTGCGTCTTTTCGAATGCCCCTCGCGGCTACCCTGTCTTATCCCCACCGCACCCCACTGCCATTTTCTCTACTTACTTATCGCGTTACACTTTCTCCTACTTTTTACTTTATCCATTTTCTCATTTTTTTTTTTCACTTCTTCCTACTTTTAGTCCCTCCTACACCCCCCCCTCTCTCTCTCTCTCTCTCTCTTCGTCTCTTTTTCACCTTTTTCGTCCCCGCTTCTAACACAGTCGCCGTCCCGTACGTTTTATTGTTGCTTTGATACAATTTTTCTCATCCCTTAATTAGCCCAACGCGATTTTTCAAAATCGCGCGACGGCATCATGCTGCTGGCAGATCGTTATCATTATCTCAGGACACACAGAGTAATTGTATACTTAATTGATAGAATATCGAAATACGTGGTGTGAAGATGAAGAATGTGAAGAGACGTGTGTGCGCATACGTACATATATATATATATGCTCTGACATATATGTCACCTGTGTACATATACACGTCACGCAGTAAGAGGATTACGAAAAACACGAAAAGTTATAATATATGTAATATATGTACATACATACATATATATATATATATATATATAAATTCTGGGTACAGTAAACAAAAAAAAAAAGAGCTTCGAAGAGGGACTCAGGAATTAACGATAGACATAAAATATACATATAAACATAATGCACGTGTATGACTAGTATATATATGATTAGGATGATACATACATTTCTGTATACATATATACATATACATGTACATATGCATATACAAGAGGTACGAATAATATCCATAGAAAGAAAAAAAAAAATTACGAACACCCAGCATATAATTTTGTGTGCGTGTTTGTGATTTCGGGACGTGGTTTGCTTTATTTTTTATTTTTTGTTTTGTTTAATTAAAACTTACCATGGTAACGTCATCTATTTTTGAGATACTTCGAACAAATATGTTGACGTGGACAACCGCGGGTCCATCTAACATAGCAAAAAGAATACACAAATTAATCAGTCACAGCGGAATAAGAGATGGGGTGAGAGTACTTTTTTTTTCTTAATTGTAGCCGTGCGCCATCTTTTTTTTTTTATGTTTTTGTTTTTAATCTGAAAAATTACGCCTTTCGCAGAAAGGCTCGATAAAGAGCTGCGACACCGAGTGGCAGTGGCAGCCATTCGATTGTTTCGACTCTTCACGCGTTTCAAGGTTTGTCTCTCGTCTTCGCACGCGGTTTAAAAAAAAATACATATAAATTCTGAAAATTGATACTTGTGAAAATTGCCACTTTAATTTTGCCGCCATACGGTTACTCCCGCTCGCTGCCTCTGTTAATCTGTACTTTTGTGTAGTACACACGTGCAGTATGTATAGCCAAGATTCTATTACACTCGTTCTATGTCGTTGGTGTGTTATTACGTCATCAGGTATACCCTGTATACGTCAGAATGTCATTCATGGTCGTCGTTCACGTGAATGCTGGACTTAAGGGTAGTTGCCGAACTGAAATTCAGGGAACGAAAAAAAAGGGTCTGCGATAAATGGTCTAACGTATTTTTTTTAGAGTTACAAGGACGCGAGTATACGTTGAAGTAGGGAAAGTATGTACATATATATAGTACTGCTGTCATATTGTATAATAAAGAATGTTTTCGTCTCTGTTGCTTCTCTCCCTCTCACTCCCTTAGACATTCACGTGTTTTCTAGTAGACAGCAGTGGTTGCCAAGGTAGTAGAAAATTATACGAGTGTCAAAGATAAATCGTGGCTGAGGATCTAAAGGACCTCCATTGCCATAACCTCTCCTCACTCACTCTCCCTCACGTTCATTCTATATCACGCCATCTTTTTCTTTCTCACTCCCCAAATCCCCGCTTGCCTTGGGAAAAGCCTCGCAAAGCTCCTTTTATCGTATAACCTACCAGCATATTGTAGGTTAGGTGTCTTATGGGCATTCCTGATGGGTATGCCACCTTTAACGTAGCATCAAGCACTTTTCTATTGGATAATGCAGGACGCGATAGTGATAACTATTTGCTTGGTATCTCAAGAATGTCCTACGTACATAGGCACGTGCACGTGCACGTGGCTAGGAAAAAAGGTATCACAGCCCGAACAACATAGCCATTGTTCGTGGTACAGTCCAACTAGAAAAATAGGAACTCTTCGATCACTGGGGAGAACGCCAACCCGTGTATAACTGTAAAGCATTCTTTCGCTGGTTCGAGGACAGTCGTTTTGACTCTGGCAGTCACAATGGCGGCGATGGAAAATTGTCAAACTGTATATAAAATTTGATCGATGTATATAAAAGTGTTGATTAAAAGTGTCAAGTAAAAATACTACAATCGTAATACTTGAAATATCGCTTGGAAACGTATTACGTGACTCTTGTATCTACTGGAAATTTTATACCGTGTACAAAATACATCCATGTAACCTGACTGTCTTTCTTCTACCATGTATTCACTCTTCCTCTGGTAATACCTGGTGGTCACAGTATATGTATATATAATTTTTTCTCACTAGCCTATTTTATTCACTTTGAAGACACCGTCTTCACGTATTCTGTCGTATCCGTCACTTTCTTCAGTTTCTTACCTCTTGAGACTCCCACCTAACGTCACATCACAGGAAGAACCCTCGTGGCTCCCCCGTGATGCCTGCTTCACACGTGACTCTGCGCCTTTTATGTTTTATTACGTTATTCACATTGCCCTTTTAGCCACCCCCCATCCAGACCACCCTCTCTTCGCCCAATTCGTTGGAAATTCTTTTGGCGGATTAGGGGTTCAAATATAAATGTTAGTTATCGTTATTAAAATTTTTCTCTCAGGGAGCTTATCGACACAAGTCGCACGCTTATCTAGAGCACAGTGGAAATGGCTGTGAGGGCTTAGCACCCCGATTGAAGTTAGATTGGTGAAATTTTCATGGGATTAAAGTCAAAAGGAAAGAATGGCGTCCCCTCGACACCCTTGAGTATTTTTTTACTAGGATGAATCGAGCGAACGGGTCCCGTGGAATAAATTGAATTTCGTCACGAATGGTCCGAGGCTCTTTCTGTTCTCGTACGGGAGCTATGAATGTAGTATATATATATAGTATGTTATGGAGTATAATATATACAAAACTATTTTTATATACTCGTATATGTACGATATGTACGGGTTGGGGTAACTGGATGAGCGTCGAGGACACAAAAGCCACCGCTAAATTTTTTCTCTCGCGGTACGCTGGATATATGCTTTGGTGGGAGTCTTTTAATTAAAAAGAAAAAAAATTTTTAAAAAACAATTTTCATATCAATCGACGAGTTCGGCGTGGGCCGAGGCGAAAATAAAAAGGGCGCAAAACGTCGAGAGCGTTATTGCTGCGTGAAACTACTCAGTAATATTCTTTTGAGCGAGTGGCGACTTAAGGAATGAAAGCTAAGGGAAAAAGAGCTTTCAAAGAAATAAAATAAATAGTCCAAGGGTCGAGGAACGAAAAAGAAAAAGGGCGAAAAATTGCCGTCTAAACGATTCAGCAGATAACGCTAGTCCAGGACTGCTTCGATTTTGCCCTCGTAAATTGCGGTCGTTCGTTTCGGATTAACTGCGTTACGACTTTAAAACGTATTTCCAGGCGATGTACCACGATAACAGTCGAAACTCCTCGTCGCGCGAACGAGCCTGCCCGTTAAACAAGCCATATGTACCATAAACCAGACTTTATTCACGGTCCTCGTTCCGAAACAGGAGAAGGTTGCGCCTAATGTGGGCTAATCTTAGTATAGAGGTTATGATAGCTATATTGCGAGAAATGGCCGCATCCTTCGTAATCCCGGCCTGTTCCATGAGATCCGTTAAGACCTGCCATAAGCTAAGTTGCCTAAGGTTGGTACGCATATACATATATATTGTATACCGTTACACGGTAGTCACTATAAAGTACAGTGGCATAAGCCAGCAGCCAGCCATTCAAATCCTACAAAATCTAAACTAACAAGGCAGTTGCGCACGTGGGACAATGTAAATCGTAAGACGCGTTTTGCCGCCCGTCTACCAGACGACAAATAGTCCCTTGGCAATTGGCAACAGTGTGGCACATCGTTCGGGCTTCGAGGCACTTACGGATACCAAAGGAAGTTACCAGAAATGCTGTGTAGAAACCAAACTGACGTGGGGGACGGCTGCCTGGATGGTAATATGCGATGGGATGGGTCGTGGCTGGAATCGTGGATTTGAGAAATGGAGAAACGGAGGCTCGAGGCTACATAAGCCCAGGGCGTAGAACGAGATGGCGCCGATATTGAGAAAGTTCGTAGCTACGGAGTATACGGGAAGGGAAGAAACTTTCCTTGAGGCACACGAGAAAATCCAAAGGAAACGTATCGTTACTGCTGCTGAGCTTTTGGCTATCGATAAATACTTTTCATCGTCGAACGTAACGCCGTTATTTTCTTAATAACACTTTCACTATTTATCTCATGAAACTTGATTTTAACACTTCGTACTACATTATATACCCCCCTATAATATTGATGTTTGATATTCACCTTTGGAGGTTAAGCCTTGGCATCTTATGCGGAACGATGAGAATTCTTCCGAATAGAATTTCTTGACGCTGTCATTGTTTACGGCGAGGTGCAGGTTAGTTGGCTTTTTACGTTACAAACGACTGTTGTTTACAGTGACACTTTACACATTATTAGATCGTTGTTTACAGTTGTCAGATTGTTTATTTCACACTGTACATTGTAGACCGAGTTAATGGATGGCGACGTGTTAAAGCAGAAAGGTAGCTACTGGACACATGGAATTGTAACCTCTAGCGGCGACTGCTGGAACTTCAGTGTCCCTAGACGACAAAGGATTTTCGACGGAGTAATTTATAAAGGCGCGCGAAGCCGAGTGAATGCATCACAGAATCGTCTAGGATTTCACGTGTCGCACAGGACACGTGAAAAGGATAATTGTCCTTTGGGATTCGTGTAGCTTCGTGCCGTTACAGAGCAATACGGTACCGTAGATGCTAAAAGACCTTTTACTCGTGACTACGCCAATTTCCAGCGATTCCCTAGAAGACGGGATACTCTGGGGAAAATTCTCTAGACGAAACTCTTACGGGAAATAAATAGTACCTGGATTTTTCTTTCTCCTCTCTCTAACCTCTTATTCTCTTTGTTTTTCTCTCCTACACTTTCCCGTAGATTCTCTCTCTATCTCTCTAGTCATCTTCTCTACCCTCTCGTTCGTCAACGAAATAGCACCTGTCTCTTGCTGCTAAAATAATAGCATCTGCTGCTCCAGGAATGCATGAAGCTTTCATTTGGAAAAGGAGTCTACTTGTCACGGGTCACTGAATCTTCATACTTTGAGCAAACGTCGTTTCTCTGATAAGAGTTGCAAATACGTAAACCTCGTAGAGACCCTTTGCTTTTTGTTTATATATATGTTTTTTTATTTCTTCTGCACTAGGGCAACCAATCAAGTTTTGCAGTCGTTGACTTGGAAAAAGTGGATGGAGCGTCTTGAGCGTAGGAAGTATATTATGCAAAGCAAAGATGTGTGTTGTAGCTTGTCAAACGTGTACGCGTTCTTTATTTTTTATTTTTTTAACTAATGACACCGTATATACCATCAAAGATAACTTTACGTTAACCTTCGTCCACTCTAAAGCAACGAATTTCACTGCGATGCCACTTCCTCGTTCTTTTATGCTTCATGTTCACACACGCTACCTTTGTATACCTGAATTTTAATATACTTTTTTTTTATCTCTGACGAGTTTAATAATTCTTTCTTCTTTATACTCAGAGAAACCTTGTCACACAATTTTTTTTTACCAATGACCACTTAAACCGTCAGTTCGTTTGTTTTCTTCACAAAGCTACACAGTCGTCCAATCTCTCTTTTCACGTTTCCTCATTGGCTTTTCTTTATTTCACTTCAATTCCCACCTAACCGTACTACCACGATCAATCACTTTCATTAAAATGA